GGTGTCCATACATTTGTTCTCTATGTCTGTGTCTCTATTTCTGCCTTGCAAACAGGTTCATCTGTACCATTTTTCTAGATTCCACACGCATGCATTAATATATATTTGTTTTTCTCTTTCTGACTTACTTCACTCTGTATGACAGTCTCTAGGTCCATCCACCTCTCTAAAAATGACCCAGTTTTGTTCCTTTTTATGGCTGAGTAGTATTCCATTGTATATATGTACCACATCTTCTTTATCCATTCATCTGTCGATGGACATTTAGGTTGCTTCCATGACCTGGCTATTGAAAATAGTGCTGCAATGAACACTGGGGTGCATGTGTCTTTTTGAATTATGGTTTTCTCAGGGTATATGCCCAGTAGTGGGATTGCTGGGTCATATGGTAATTCTATTTTTGTTTTTTTAAGGAACCTCCATACTGTTCTCCATAGTGGCTGTATCAATTTACATTCCCACCAACAGTGCAAGAGGGTTCCCTTTTCTCCACACTCTCTCCAGCATTTATTGTTTGCAGATTTTTTGCTGATGGCCATTCTGACGGGTGTGAGGTAATACCTCATTGTAGTTTTCATTTGCATTTCTCTAATAATTAGTTATGTTGAGCATCTCTCCACGTGCCTCTTGGCCATCTGTAGATCTTCCCTTTTTTTTTTTTGTAAATTTTTCAAAATATTTATTTATTTATTTATTTGGCTGCACTTGGGTCTTAGTTGCGGCATGTGGGATCTTTGTTGCCACGTGCAGGATCTTTTAGTTGCAGCATGTGGAATCTCTAGTTATGGCGTGCAAACTCTTAGTTGTGGTATGTGGGATCTAGTTCCCTGACCAGGGATCGAACCCCGGCCCCCTGCATTGGGAGCGTGGAGACAGCCACTGGACCACCAGGGAATTCCCTGTATGTCATCTTTGGATAAAGTTGCATATTTTTGCTTTCTCTCTTTGCTTTGACTTGCCTTTAGTTAAGATTTTTCTCATTTTCTTTGTCTTTTCAAACAAATTTTATTTATCTTTTTCATATTTTTTCCTATAACATTTCTGTCAGCTTTCATCTCATTCTCCCCTCTTCTTTTATTTTGTTGCTATTTTTCTAATTTCTTAGGTTGAATATTTGGTTCAGTTGCTTTGGGGCTTTTATTTGGGTTGGCCAAAAAGTTCGCTGGGGCTTTTCCATAACATCTTATGGGAAAACCCAAATGAACTTTTTGGCCAACCCAATATAAATAATAAGAGTATTTAAGGCTATCAATTTTCTTTCTTTTTTAAAATTAGTTAATTAATTATTTATTTTTGGCTGCATCAGGTCTTAGTTGCAGCACATGAGATCTTTCATTGCGGCACGCAAGCTTCTCTCTAGCTGTGGTGCACTCCAGAGTGTGTGGGCTCTGTAGTTGTGGTGCGCGGGCTCCAGAGCTCATGGGCTCAGTAGTTGCAGCACGTGGGCTTAGTTGCCCCATGGCATGTGGGGTCTTAGTTCTCCGACCAGGGATCGAACCCACATCCCCTGCATTGGATGGTGGATTCTTAGCCACTGGACCACCAGGGAAACCCTGAGGCTATCAATTTTTCTCTGAGCACAACTTTAACTGTGTCCCAGGTGGTTTTGGTATGAAGAATTCATTTCCTTACTGAGATACTTTTTTTTTTTAAGGATTCTTTTTTTAAAAATTTATTTATTTAATTAATTTATTTTTGGCTGCGTTGGGTCTTCATTGCTGCCTGCGGGTTTTTCTCTAGTTGCGGCGAGCGGGGGCTACTCTTCGTTGCACACAGGCTTCTCATTGCGGTGGCTTCTCTTGTTGCAGAGCATGGGCTCTAGGTGTGCGGGCTTCAGTAGTTGTGGCACTCAGGCTCAGTAGTTGTGACTCACGGGCTCTAGAGTGCAGGCTCAGTAGTTGTGGCACACGGGCTTAGTTGCTCCATGGCATGTGGGATCTTCCCGGACCAGGGCTCGAACCTGTGTTCCCTGCATTGACAGGTGGATTCTTAACCACTGCGCCACCAGGGAAGTCCTGAGATACTTTTAACGATAAAAGTGTACTGTATTACCTGGGTGATGAAAAGTGAAGAAAAAAAAATACACAAAACCCAACCCCACTGGAGTCCAATTACATCATTCCAGGATTTCCCTGCAGCAGTCAGAGGGGAAAATGCAGGAATTATGAATGACGGAGGGCATAGCAATGGCAGAGGATTTGAACTTGCTTTTCAAAGAAGGAGACGGGCACTCTTTTAGAAGGACGAGGTTCAAAAGTTGGGTCAGCAATAGGGGTGGTGGGGTGGTGAGAAGTGGATTTTAGAGAAAGAGTGCCCACGGCAGGAGATTTCATCTTCAGAGTAAAGGAGGCTTTTTGGTGGTGCTTTTTTTGGTTTTTTTTTTTTTAAAGCATCAAAGGAAATGTCAAGGAAGAAAAAGCAAGCTGTAACCCAGGATGCAGAATGCAAAGTTCTGCTTCCTCTCCTCCTCCATGAGGCCCCATCAGCCAGAGGACTAGGGGCACAGGGGGTGTTTGCAGCCTTTCAACAAAACAGGGCAGAGAGCTGCTTATAAATGTGCTCAGACTGCTCTTGGGCTGGTTGTACTCTTCCAAGGAAGGCAGCAGGCATTTTTAGGCCCCAGGGTGGGTTGCCCCAAACAGATGGCTTCAGATTGTTGGGGATCCATTCAACAAAATAACTGCTATTTTTGTTTCGTATATGAAACATCTGCTCAAAGCAGGGCACGGCTGTGATGCATTTAAGGAGGGCCTTATCAACAGCTGGGGGAGGGTCACAGCTTGGAAGGGAGGGAGGGAAAGATTTGGGGGGTAAGAGGACCCCACTAAGGGACCCCACATGGGGATGCCCTAAAAGTCTGGGCAGTGAACCTTGAGCCTCTGGACAATCAGACCCAGGACCAAAGCCTGCCTCCCCTGCTGACCCAGTGACGGCACCTGAGATACCCCCAGGGTGGGCAGGTAGAGAGAAGGGAGTCAGGTCCCCAAGGTGGACCCCCTTGTCTACCTGCTTCCTGACTCAGAGAGAGGGAGAGACAGCCGGTGTGATTCAGGGCAAGGAGCCCGGGACCCAGGTTATGCATAAATGGGAAGTGGGGAAACTGATGTTCAAAGGGAAGAAGTGACTGGCTGGGGACCCAACAAGGCAGGACCCTGAGTGCTGGACTCCTGGTTCCCCCAAGGCTCAGTGTCCTGCTCAGTCTGTACCAGGGCGGGGAAGCCTCTTGGCCCGGACTCTCTGTGGAATAAGGTGGGAAGGCAGCTGCTGTGAGGGAGAGGGGCGAGTGAGGAGAAGCGAGGTGGGAAGACAGTAGACAAAAGGAGAGGGAAGGAGGAGGGGCACGGAGAGGAGGCAAGAAGCTGGAGGGGCCAGAAAGACAGCCTGTGTTCAGTTTGAATTGGGAGGGGCGGGCATCCCTGCTTTTCTCAGGCTATTGAGAGCTTTTCAGGGTCTGCTTTACAAGACGCTGGTGCTAGAGGGGTGCATCTGATGAGGAGGACCTCAGGGAACCTTGTCAGGAGCTGGGATGGGGGTTAAGGTATTGCTAAGTGACACTCTGCAATCTAATGATGGGGCAACTGTTCTCCCAGACACCCTCTGAGCCAGCGCCTGAAGCTTTGACCATATGGGGGGCTCTCTTTAAGAATAGTAAAACAGGGACTTCCCTGGCGGCCCAGTAGTTAAGACTCCATGCTTCCACTGCAGGGGGTGCGGTTCTGTCCCTGGTCCGGGAACTAGGATCCTGTATGCAGTGCAGCGCAGTCAAAAAAAAAAAAAAAAGAATAATAAAACAAAATTACAAAAACAAAATTAATTACAGAGCTTTGCAAGGAGCCACGTACCCTCCACCTCTGCTCAGAGCCATCTCTGGTTTCTCCTCCTTCATCCTCTGTAACCCAAGTCCCACCACCTCCATGGAGCCGGAGAGGTGGGAGCAGGTGGTCCCAAGAGCTTAGACTTGGGGGTCAGGCTGATTAAATAAAATTTACATTTTAAGGCAGGACAAGAAAATTTTAACTTAAAATTCTCTCTCTGTCAGTTTGGGCCTCCTCCCTCCCCTGCAGTGTGCAGTGTGCATCTGCATTTTGCATTAACCAGACCTCCTCAAAGATGGGAGTGCCTACTTGACTGTGGAGATCATTTTTTTTTTCTTCTCTTCTGATGCCAGCAATGTAACTTCTTAGAAGACTGGCATTCTTTACCAACTCTGCAAGGGGTCACGGTGACCTACTGCTCACTTTGTGCTTACCTGAACTACACGCCTTTGATGAACTTTATGTAAACTGTCAGTATGTCATTTTGATGTATGATCCTTTGTCTTAAAAATGTATATGACTGTGCCTTTGACTTTAACAGGTGGAATGGTTCTCAGAGCTTCTGAGAGTCTCTCTCTTGGGTTACAACCCTCAGTTTGGCTTGAACAAAATTCTCTTTTTCCTTTTTGATTGTTAATTGAATTTTTGTTGACAAGACAAACCTGGGCTGGCTAAGCTACTTCCTGTGTGATCCAGGCAAGTCACTGCATTCTTGAAACCTCAGATGTCTCATCTGTAAAATGGGCAGGATATTTACCTCTTCAGGACCACTGTAAAGATTAAATAAAATAATATGTATAGCACTTAGCACAGTGTCTAACATATCATAAGCACTCAATAAGTGGCATGCCTGATATATGGTAAGCATTTTATATATGATTATAATAATCGTCTAAACTGCTTTCCAGTTTTCTGGGTTTTCTTTTAATTTTTATAAATTTATTTATTTATTTTTGGCTGCATTGGGTCTTCGTTGCTGCGAGCAGGCTTTCTCTAGTTGTGGCGAGCGGGAGCTACTCTTCGTTGCAGTGCGCGGGCTTCTCATTGCGGTGGCTTCTCTTGTTGTGGAGCACGGGCTCTAGGCGCACAGGCTTCAGTAGTTGTAGCACGTGGGCTCAGTAGTTGTGGCTTGCGGGCTCTAGAGCACAGGCTCAGTAGCTGTGGCGCACGGGCTTAGTTGCTCTGCGGCATGTGGGATCTTCCTGGACCAGGGCTCGAACCCGTGTCCCCTGCGTTGGCAGGCGGATTCTTAACCACTATGCCACCAGGGAAGTCCTGCTTTCCAGTTTCACTTCAAATGCCATGTCTTCCAGGAAGCCTTTTTTAAAAACATGAAGTGTAACATCCAATAAACGACGTAATTAAGTGAGCAGCTCGGTGGGTTTTTACATAAATATGCACCCATGTTACTACCACCCAGACCAAGACACAGATTATTTCCAGAGACCCAGGGCCTCCCACATCTCTCTTCCCAGTCAATGCTCTTTACTCTCCACCTCCAAGAGATAGTTGTTATCCTGATTTCTATTGCCGTAGATTAGACTGTTCCTGAAACCTCATATGCATGGACTCATAGTGTATACTTTCATGGCTGGCTCAAAAAGGCTCTGAAATCTAGAGATGAACAGAGCTCTGTGGTTAAGAGCTCAGGCTTTGGGCTCAGACATACCTGGTTTTAATTTAATCCTGGTTTGCCCAGAAATTGACTATGTGCCCCAGAATGCATTACGTGTCAGTTTCCTCATCTTATAAGATGGATATAAATCATCATACGTACTTCATAGGATTTGAGGAGGGGATTAAAAGAGATACTGTGTGTGACGCACTTGGCACATCAGGGTGCCGAGGGGGTGGTGCTACTTTTATTCGTCTCAATTATATTCTTCCCCTCCCATCCCCATCCTCATGGCTTCTCATGGAGACACAAATGAAGTCCAAACCACAGGAGTACTCACTGGTTTCTACTGTCTATCCTTACCTCCCACATGCCAGGGTTTGAATCCTGGCCCTATCACTTATTGGCTGTGTGACCTTGGACAAATGGCTCAGTTTCCTCGTGTGTAAAATGGAGATAATAATAGTAAATACCTCACAGGTGACTGTTAGGGTTAAATGAACTGATATAAGTGAAGAGCTTGGAAGAGTGCTTGACACACAGTATGCCCCATATATGCTTGCTTCCATCACCATGTCACCATCATCGTCACCATCATCATTGTTTACCATTCTGCTGGGGAGGGGTTGTCATCTGACTAGGCAGGGTGGTGGAGGGGATCTGGTGTCTGACTCATCCTTTTCTTTACCAGTCTTTTGTTTTCAGCCCATCCTTTCACTCCCACCTCTGGAAGTACCTGGTACCAATGATTCCTGAACTTTTCCAAGGTTCCGTGGTTGAGTGGCTAGTCTCCTTCTGGAGGTTCATATTTCCACTTCCTTTTCTCTGTTCACTCCTCAACCCTCAACCATGTGCCGTTCATCTTCCAAAGTTTTGTCACTATCTCTCATCTCCCGTTGCCTCTCTTCCTGTTCTTTGTGTCCTCGTGGATTTAAACTTTTTAAGAATTCCCCTGCTAGTATTTTAGTGGGGTTTCAGGAGGAAAAAGAATCCGCCTGATATAGTCAGATCTATTTTTCTAAAACAAAATCCTGTTCTTTACTGTTCTTTACTCTTGGGGAAGGAGCATACGGGAATTTGCTTTATTACTTTTCTGTGTTTTTTTAAAGTTTCATTTAAAAATGAGAGAGAGAGATTTCCCCCTATTCAAAAAAGTTCGCTTGATTCTGATCCCCTGTGGGTCATCAGCCTTTCTCTTCCTCTTTGTTGTCTTTCTTGCAGAAAGATAAATCCATACTTTTTGGAGAAGTTTGGAGGTTAGCCCCCCTCTCCTCTCAGTCAGTCCTTCCCTGTCTGCACTCTGACTTTTGCCCAGGTCACCAGTGACCTCTCAACGACCAGACCCACCGATGTTTTTTATTTTTAGTCAGAGCCCTGGGGCATGAGGTGTTGTTAGCTATGCCGTCTTTCTGCACTCCTGGCTCACACTGTACCTCTCTGGCCATTTCCTTTCTGCCTCCTTCTGGTCTCTGCTCCCTTCACTCAGCCTTAAACTGGAGTTCTTCCCAGTGTCCTTTACATGACCAATCCCTAACCCCCTGGGTCATGTGAGTCACTCTTCCTGGAGTCTTCACATTGTATGTGCTGACAGGGATGCCCAGATCTGACTCCTGACTTTGAACTCATATCCAACGTTTTCTCAATGAAGTCTAACCTGCCTATCCCCTTTAAAATGCAAACTATCTCTCTCCAACCCCTACCCAAGCCTAATCCTGCATGCAATCACCTTACTTATCTTTCTAATCCCTTCCATGGTTCTTAGTCTGATCAGGTAATCCTGATCACCCTACTCTATTTTTATCATCATAGCATTTATCACCTTTTTAACATACTATATAATTTACTATTTACGTATTTATGGTGTTTCCCCCTCTAGAATGTCAGTTTCATATCTACAGAGAGTTTTCTCTTTTGTTCATTGCTGTATCTGCAATGCCTAGGACCGTGCCTGGCACACAGTAGGTGCTTAATAAATATTGCTGAATTAATGAATTCACACTTTGCCTATGCCAGAGGTTTCCAAACATGGCAGCCTTTGTGTCTCAGTATGTTTTCATAGCATCCCAGACCCAAAGAAATACCTAATAGCTCTGTTTATGAAGTAGTCAGGACCAAACAACTTCTGTTATATCCTAACAACTTAGTAGCCATTTGAAAAAACAGTACCCATAAATTGAAAATAACCACCACTCCTTACTAATAAGATATGTGCACCTTCTCAGACCTTAGAATCCACCACATCAGACATTAACATCCTCAGTCTCCTGTTCCACATTGATTTTCATGAGTTATTTTCTTCTACCACATCAATTGCTGAAAACTCAGCTTCAAAGACATGTACGTCATTAGGAAGAAATGTAGCAGAGTCTAATGTTGAAACTGTGAACTACTTCCAGCTAGTAGGTTCCACAGTGTCCAACAGATGATAAGCATCATTGTGTTTCTCTCCAAAATTTAAAATACTCCACTGTGTTTCTATTTGCTGTGGCACCCCAGGGTGCCTCACACACCGTTTGGGAACCGTGGGCCTATGCTCTTTTCTTTGGTTGGATTTGATCTTCTCTCTCTTCTCAGCCTCCAGGCTCAGCTCAAATGCCACCTCTTCCATGAAGCTTTCTGGCCCCACTGGCCAAAAACAAACCACATCTAAACCAAATTATTTCTCCAGTTGTAATGAAAACTTCTTCCCCTGGGATCCCATGGCGATTTAACACATAAAAGGCAAGAATTGTTCTCTGATACCCAAGGTGTAAACAATGTCATATTTCTTTATTCTCTAAATTCAATAAAACTCACTTGGGCTTCCCTGGTGGCGCAGTGGTTGAGAGTCCGCCTGCTGATGCAGGGGACACGGCTTCATGTCCCGGTCCGGGAAGATCCCACATGCCGCGGAGCGGCTGGGCCCGTGAGCCATGGCCGCTGAGCCTGCGCGTCCGGAGCCTGTGCTCCGCAATGGGAGAGGCCACAACAGTGAGAGGCCCGCGTACCGAAAAAACAAACAAACAAACAAACAAAAACTCTCTTGAAGCCCCCACTGTCTGAGGTTGCTAAACTTCACTTGAATGGTGTTTTTGTGTGGCTCTCTCCTTGTTCCTGGGCTGGATCAGGACTATGGGACATTGACAGTCCAGGCAAAACTGAGCTGTCCACAACAGCTATCCTCAGAGGCTGCCACCACAGGGCTCACCAGTCCATTCAAAAGTGCTTGGCCCTAATCTGCTGCCCCAGAGCCAGGCTAAGCAGACGGACTCATTCCTGGCTCTCAGGGCCACAGGGGAAGGTCCTAGCGCTTGGTGCCCAGGCATTCACACCACCACCCCTGTCCAAAGCCCTGAGCGCTCCAGGACTCCATGTGCATGGGAGAGACGTCAGTGCTCCTCAGAACCTGCGCCTTGGGGGAATCCAACCTCCCCCTTCCAGAAGAGGTATTAATCCCCCAGAGTTTACATGCAGGTAACCTGGGGACTGGACGTGGCCCTCAGATGTGTTTTGTTTAGCCAGTGTGGTGTTATTAAATTTTTTTTTTATAAACTTATTTATTTATTTTTGGCTGCGTTGGGTTCCCACTGCTGCATGTGGGCTCTCTTTTTAGCTGCAGCAAGCAGGGACCGCCTCTCCCTACGGTGCACAGGCATCTCGTTAAGGTGGCCTTTCTTGTTGTGGAACACAGGCTCCACGAGTGCGGGCCTCAATAGTTGTGGCACATGGGCTCAGTAGTTGTGGCTTGCGGGCTCTAGAGCACAGGCTCAGCAGCTGCGGTGCACGGGCCCAGCTGCTCTGCGGCCCGTGGGATCCTCGCGGCCCGGGGCTCAAACCCGTGTCCTCTGCACCAGCAGGCGGGCTCCCAATCACTGCACCACCAGGGAAGCCCTACATTTTTTTTTAATCCATTGCAACACTTCGACTTACTGGGGGATGTCGAAATGTTTACAATCAAGGTCCTTGGTCGTTGCATGTAAACCAGTGGTTGGAGCTGAGTAAGGACTGCCCCCTGCCCCGACTCCCTGCAAGGCACGAGCTTTGCCGTTGGCCACATCTGTAGTGTTACATCTGCCTGGCCCCTACACTCCTTCGAGTTTGAGAACCTAGCCTACGCTTTTGAAAACAAAGCCTTTTTCATATTGTATTCCGACCTCAAACACAAAAAACTGTTAACTCACTCTTTCCGGCAAGGATGTACCAACCTGAAGCACTCCAGGCCCTGCCGCTCTTTGTAGGTGTGGGGGGTAGTGGGTGGCTGCGCTGGAGACAATTACATTTTCATTCTCTGCCTGTGAACTACAGCAGCAAAAAAACAGGAAACCGACTGAACGCTCTGTAACTGTATTCAGCACTGATGTATTCAGACTAGTTATGCCATTTTTAATGATATTAATAGCTAACATTTATTGGGTCCTTAATAGGTTCCCGGTCCTAGGTAAAGAACCTTATTAACATTATCTTGAATTCTTTAGAAACTTCTTCTAAAAGAATGCAGCAGAATCTAAAAGCCCAGAGACCAGGAGGAGGGGGTGGGGGTGAGCACGGGAAAATGCCGCTAATGATGCAGCTTAAAAGCAGAAGGGAGGCAGGTGCAAGCCCGAGACTGTCGGAGAAGAGGCCCAGACTCCGCACCCAGGGCTCTCCAACAGGCCCCTGTACGTGGGGGGCCCAAGTCAGTTGGTCCGCGCTATCAGGGCTGGTGGAGCCCACGGTCGGTACTCGGTTTCTTCCGCCTCTCCCTGCTCCGCCCAGTTGCCTACTCTGGGTTGTTTGTCTCTCTCTCCCCGCACGCCCCCCACCCCCGTTCTCGGTCCCTCCATGCGGCTCCCTGTCTCTATTCCCTGACCCCCTAGCTTCTCCCCTCTCTGTTCTGCATCCGTCTCCCACCTGCCGAGCTCCTGGCGCAGCGGCCAAGCCGCAAGCAAGCTCCCCGCCGTCACGTGACGTAAGCGTAAATCACAGGATTCTTCCCACCCCCAGAGGCTGGCCGGCACCCGGGTTCTGCAGAGGCTGCAGGCCGCGCATGCGCAGCTACAAGTGCACCTGCCCAGCGGGCGGGCGGGGCCGCGGACCAAACCAGCGCATCCAGGGGCCACAGCCCCCCTACCCGAACCCCTCAGGCTGGACAGGGGCAAGGGTTAGTGGACCCGCCTGAGCCCCGACTCCCAAGAGGTTCGGTTCCCGTTGCTGATACGCTCCCAGCAAGAGGTCCACACATCTAAACCTGTCCTTAGGTCAGGGCACTGCGGCTGCACCTGGGCGCTGGACGTTCTCCTCTGGGCATCAGGAAGTCGGAGCGCAAGTCCCAGGTCTGCTCTTAGAGCCGTGTGACCTTGGGCAAGTGACTTGACCTCCCTGTGCCCCTGGAAATGTAATAATAATAGCACCGGGGGGCTTCCCTGGTGGCACAGTGGTTAAGAATCCACCTGCCAATGCAGGGGACACCGGTTCGAGCCCTGGTCTGGGAAGATCCCACATGCTGCGGAGCAACTAAACCCCTGTGCCACAACTACTGAACCTGCGCTCTAGAGTCCACGAGCCACAACTACTGAAGGCTGCGCGCTCAGAGCCTGAGCTCCGCAATAAGAGAGGTCACCGCAATGAGAAGCCCACGCAACCACAATGTAGAGTAGCCCCCGCTCGCTGCAACTAGAGAAAGCCGCGCGCAGAAACAAAGACCCAATGCAGCCAAAAATAAATAAATAATAAATAAATAAATAAATTTATTAAAAAAAAATAGCTCCGACCTTGTGGGGCCGTAGTGAGAATTCGATGAAAATTCAAGAGAGCCCTTTGTGTGGTGCCTGGCGGGTATCAAACGTACTGCATATAAAGAATACAGTGCAAAGGATAGTGCTGTGTGATGACTGAGCGAGGATTTTGTCCTATTGTGCAGGTCATCACCCTGGGTCCTCAGAGGCACCCTTCTAGAGAAGCCTGGAAGTTTTATTGTCCCTGTTTCACAGATGGAGAAATCAAGGCTCAGAGATGTCAAGAGGTCTTGGAACAGGTCTTACATTCTACATCCAGAGAGATTCCAATCCGACACTCCTGAGTCAGGGGTTCCTGAGTGAGTTCACAGTCTGTCACCCTACTCACTTTTTCAACCATCCTATTTAAAACAACATCTGTTCTGATTTTTGTCATCCCTATTAAACATCTCAGGTACACATCCGCAGGAAAGAATTTCTTTTTTTATCCTTCCACAGAAAATAAGCAGCTGCTATGTTTTATTTTCTGTGGCCTTTGAGGAGGTCTCGGAGGGAGCATGTGGCATCACAAGTGCATCCTAGTTCCCCTCACATTTACAAACTACCTCCTCCTTTTCCAAATGCAACCCAAGGCTATCAGTACCTTCCTTGGGTAAAAGACAGAGCCCAGACACGAAGAGATGACAGGTGAACACTTTCCCTCTCTGGGAAGCCATATGAAGGTTCTGATAGGGTAGACTGAACTGAGGATGAGAAGATGGTCAAATCTTCATGCCCTGGGGCTGGTGGCTGAACTAGGACATGTGGCCCCTCATCCTGGCTCGGCCAGTGTTCACTGTGTGACCTTAGGAAAGTCCTCCTTTAGGCCTCAACTTCTTTAGTTGTTGCTCAGTATAAAATAATGGTTCAGAATTCAGATTCTAAAATTAGATCTTTATCACTTACTAGCAAGGCACTTATCTTCTCTGAGTCTGTTTCCTCATCTGTAAAATATTATATTTCTTAATAATATAAAGGAGCTAGCTCACAGAGCTGTTCCAAAAATTTAATGAGTATTCATTGATTTTATGACTACCAGTTCTCTTGTCCTTTTTGACTTTAAATTGGCTCAACTCATTTTTCTTTGAAGCCAGAGGGGAGCCCTGTCCCATATTTCAAAAGCAATCTCCCCTGTCAACTAAGTCGAGCAAAAACTGACCTGGGACCACTTTGGTAAATGTGGACTCCAGGAAGGAGATACTGACCAGAGTCATCCCACAGCATATTCCTATTCGATTTGGGACCTAAATATTTCTAGACTTTTGTTGCCCAAAGACTAGGATCGGTGTCTGCCTTGTACATGGCAGGAGCTCCAATGTCTAGAACAGCGGCTTACATATAGTAGTGAGAGAACAATAAATATTTGCTAATGAATGAAACACAACCTGAGAGCAAGTCTAGTACTCAGTTTCTGAGCCTATGTTTTTTTTATCTGAAAATGGAGATTAAAAATAATGTCCAATTATTGCGAGGATTTAATGAGATGATGCATGTAAGAGCTCAGTGAATGGTGGATTTATGGATATGGGTACCCAAAGAGAGATAGTGTCGATAAACCTTACGTTTTGGGGAGTGGGTACTAGTAATAAGATCTAGCTTCTGAGTTCCTTTTGTGGGCGGGGGTGTGGGGGGGGTGAGGGGTGGATGTAAGGTTCCCAGAAAGAGGTAAGACAGACCACAGCGGCGTTTCAGGAAGATGGAATGCGTCGGTAGCCTGAGGCCAGGGATTCAGGTGCGGAGGCTGCGGAGAAGATTCTTGGACCCGGCGCCCCGGGAGCGCGCGGTGTCCCGGCCGCGCGCGGCGCGTGAGATGAGGGGAAGGGCGTGGCTCTCCCACCAGCCAGGGACCTCCTCGCTTCCAGCCGCATCTCGGCGGGCGGGGCCGAGCCTCCGGGCCGCAGTGCGATTGGCGGAGGCGAGCGGGTGACGCTAACGGCTGGCGCGAGACTCCGCCCCCGTCAGGCCCCGCCCCCCCGCGCGCGCCGGCGGGTCGGCAGCCTCGCTCTGGCTCGCGCCGCGCCCCCGCGCCGAGTCCGCGCGTCAGTTGATCCCGAGCGCGGCTGCAGGGCGGCGGGCTGCAGCTAGCAGAGCGCGCCGACCCGGGGAGGCGGCGGTGTCCGCAGGCGTCGCGTGAGGAGGCTCGGAGCCCAGAGACTCGCGCAGCGCGATGGCCCCCATTGGCCTCAAAGCGGTGGTCGGAGAGAGTAAGTGGAGTCGGGGTCCTCCCCGCAGGCGGCGGCTACGGCTGCCCGGGAAAAGCCGGGCGCCGTACCTGCCTGCAGCGCCCCGGCCTCCGCGCTGGCCTCTCGCCCCGCTTGGCCCGGGGCTCCTGGCTGGGAGGGTCCCGTTATTCCGGCGCCGCCCTCCTCGGAGGGAAGTCCCTCCCGGCCTCCTGCGGCCCGGTCCTCTTCCCTTCTTCCCCAGCTCTTCTCTTCCCGCATTCCTTCCCCTTCCGCCCCCCCACCTTTGCTCCATCCCTTACCCTTCATCCCACCCCTCCCCTCTTCGCCCCATCCCTCTCTTCCCTCTTTACCTCCATCTCCCTCCACCCCCATCGCTCCATCCCTCCCCCTTCACCCCTGGCACCCCATCCCTCCCCCTTCACCTCGCCTTTACCCCCTGCAGCCCATTACCCTCCCCTGCACCCCCATTCTTCACTCCCAGTACCTTCCCCTCATTTCCTCTCTCCTTTTCCTCGCCTTTATTCCCTAAGCTCCTTGATTCCACTCCTTTTCCCGTTCTCCAGTCCCTCCCTCTTTCCCACCCTCCTTCGTGAGTCGTGACGAGCGAGATCCCGGCCTGTGTCCTCCTCCCCCTTCCTCCTCCCTCCCGGGAGCCGGAGCCGCGGTCTCCGGCTGCAGAGACCCACCTGGGAGCGGCTCCGCGCGCCCTGGCTCAGACGCGCCACTCGCCCAGCCTGGGCCACTCCTGGCAGCTGGAGAGAAGCCTGTTTTCCAAAGGCTTGGCTCTGCTGGGCTGAGGCCGCCTCTCTCCTCCTCCCGATCCTGGGTCTTTGCTTCAAGGGCGGGGTCTTATCAGGGTCCTGAACTGTCTTAAATCACCCGGGAGACGAGGAAGGCTTTAGTGTGCGCGGGAGGAGTGGCCCTGCCCAGCACCGCAGTCTGCAGTCTCCCTGTTCGCAGGACTCAGCCGATGCTTGGTTTCGGGCAGTTCCAGCCACTGTTGCAGGGAGGAAATGGTTGTTCGTGGGTTTGGATGAAAGGCTCAACGTAAATGGATTTTAAAAAATGGATGGTGGAGCGTGTGGGCTACAGCGGAGTGAGCTCTGACGGTGGTGATATTTGGAAAACGGCGTCCCCAGTGCTAAATAAGCTTGATGATCTGTGTGGGCAAATAGTGCCTTTTCAATATTTCGGCTGTTTCTTTAACAGAAAATGTGAGAGGATTGCTGTAACTTTCGCTACCTCTTTTGGAATTGAGAGAATTAAAAGTGGACTTTGTGGGAGAGGATAAGAAAGGAAATAGAATAAAAATGGTGGAAATTAGTTTCCTTTCCAATGATTGTCTTATTAGAGCAATTCCTCTCGCTCGCTCTCTCTCTGGTTGTCAAATGTTTTTGACTGTAATGGTCCTTTTGAGGCATCATAATTGTTTCTTCTTCCTTATTCCTTTCGTTGGTATATAGAAAATATTCCCAATTGTACAACCTTATCTTACCTATTACACCAGAAGAAAATTGTTGTAAAAATTGAACCCCCAAATGAGCAAGTTTTTAAAAAAGTGTCCACGATAATTATCACCTGCCTTCCCCATGTGGTAAAGGTTCTGAATCACATACTTTCTATTTTTAAAGGCCAATCGAAGCGTTTAGGGCTGGAAGGACCCATAGGGATCCTTTAATGTCAACACCCTCATTTTACCCTTGGGAAAGAAATGGAGGCTCAGAGCAGTTAAATGACTTGCCAAAATCAGTGTTAATTAATTTTTAAAAAACCTGGTGTCCATTTCCTTGCAGCATTAGTAAAAAGTAACTTTCTTCATTGTTCTAGGTATACCATTTCCTTCCAGTATGCTTTTTAAAGGGTTGTGAAATGTGGATTGTTATGTTACATTCTTTTAAACGTTATATTTGAATAAGGTGCTTTTTAAAACAAAATCCCGAAAACAGGTGTTACAGAAATCACGTTTTTGCATCCTTTTGCCGTGATCCTTGTTCATGCAGGTAGCTCCCCCCAACTTTTAGAAGCAAGTGTC